TATTTTTATATCTTTTAAATATTTAAGTAATTAATTATCGTGATTTATAATATTTTATACAATTATTTAGTATAGTAAAAGAAATTTAAAAGAAACACGCATCCTTCAATAGTAAAATATGGGTCCCCCTTTTTTTTACACGTTGACCTCCTGCATTGTATAGTCTTTTTTTGTCCACAAGGAAAAAGGAACACGTGTCGACCCCAAGGTCCTCTCTATTCCCGCTTATTATATTATATATATAGTAAATTAATTTTGATTTTTTTTAGTTCTAAAATGACGTGTAAAATATTTAATTAGTTGGCAGTCATTGAGTGGGTCACTAATACACGTGGGAGCGTTTGCATTTCACGCTCTTTGGCTCCGAAAATCGTGTGTTTATTTATTTAAAGGTAGGATAGTTAAAGTGCCTATTTGTGCATTATGAAAGTTGGAGGTCAAAGTTAAAATTTGAAGTCAAGTTTAGGGGCCAATATATGTATTATGCCTAACGTAAAATGCGCATGAAATCCAAGTACAATATTTCCAAACTTTTTATACCTAATCATAAGTGTATACTATTTCTAATCGCCGAAGTTATAAATTAAAAATCTGATACATTTAAATAATATTTCCTTCAATTTAGCTTATATTATAAATAGTAGTTGTATGATCATAGGAATAAATGAAGAAAAATGAATTTTATTTTTTTAATAATATTGTCCAATTTATTTTTAGTGAGTTTTGGTGAACCAACAGATGGGTTTATAGAAGTTGCACTAACAGATGAAAATTTTGAAATTCAGAAACCATATGATATTCCACTTGAAAAACGCTATAGTTTCGAAAATGGAACTCATCGACTGTGGGTTTATGCGGATGACAAGCCTTATGATCCTAATAGCCTTACTCAGCCTCGCACCGAAATTCGGATTCAGGTATTTATATATTTATTATTCTAAAAATATTTTTTTATATATAATCTAGATAAAAATCGATCCAAATCAAACATGTAGTGACTTGATTATTGGTCAGGTATATGGCAATTTGAGGGTAGTGTATTTGTGCCGAATGGGACATCAGGAGCAACAATTGTACAAATTCATGGAGCCTCACATGGCAACACAACAATAATATTAAGAATTTATGATGGGGACATGAGTTATTACAATGGACATATTTTTGCTACTGGTTTATACGACAAGTGGTTTAAGGTTAATTTGATTCATGACGTAGATGGAGGTAAAGTTACAGTTTTTATTGATGGAAAACAAGTATTTGAGACCAAAGATAAAGGCCCTGGAGACTTACATTTCAAATGTGGAGTTTATGCTGCACCTAACAATATTAGTTATTACATGGAATCAAGATGGAAACACATCAAAATATACAAAAAAAAAGTATATTAAAGGATTATCACGTAAGTACAAAGCTCAAGTCAAAATAACCACCTCTGTGACTCCATCCCAGCAAAGCGATCATAGATGAACAAGAGCATGATGTTATTACAAGAATCACTATGAAAAAACTAGTAATAATATGTCTATAAAGTTTTGCCATGTAACTTGCTTTATTATTTTACAAGCCAAGAAAAAAGAATGATATGTTGAACCAATTAATAAATAAAATATGAAACAACTATGAATACAGTATCTGAGCTAAGAACCACAAGGCAGGCAACAGATTCTTCCAATCCTTGTGAAAAGCCACTGTAACGGATTTGGACCATCGATATCCTCATGATAAGACGGGGTTGGCAATGGCATTTCTGAAGGCAAATGCCGGTGGAAAGCATCAACTGCACCTGCAACACCATCTTCCTTCTCTAATAATACAGCTAGTTCCATTACTCGCGATTTCACCTGTATATATGTTCATTTTGCATCAGCACGAGCATTTCCAAAACACGTTTGTGTTCTGCAATGACAGATGTCATTAGGTAGGGAGATGCATATATAGACACTTACATCAGACTGGAGCATAAATGTTATAGCATCAGAGAGTCCTTCTACACTAAGCTGCTCAATAGGAATTGGAGCAGGTCCCAGTCCCTTTTGATGAATTCTATCGCCCCAGAAGAATTGATCACCGAAGAACGGTACTATAGTTGTTGGACACTGGATTAAAACATTGCATAAGACCATCTGAGCTTTCTATATAATATAACTCAAAGTGCAAAATCTGATTGCCGTCTATGCCTACACATTTAGAATAATACTACTGATATGAGATTGAGAAAGAACATTACCCCAGCACGTAGTCCCGCGGCTGTGGTTCCAGCTCCACCGTGATGAACCTGCAAGCAGGTATTTCCCACGACCACATCAGAAAATAATATTTTTCAAAATCCAGATATCGACAAGACTGGAGTTTAGAAGGTCAGTTATACTAGAGTTTGTAAAATCCATAATAACCAACCATTGACCATCAGTTTATCAGAACCGATCCCATCTCCCAGTCTGCTAGATATATAACATGAGTAGGTAGGAGTAAATTGTAAAGCAATGGTACTCACAACAGCTGCGCATTGAGGAAAAAGCCAATCATGAGGGTACTCCGCAACAAGAAAAACATCTTCAGGAATATCTTGAACTGGAACAGAATAAGAGGAGAAAAAAAAACAAGAAAAGATGTTTCTTGGTGTTAGAATATTCTCACATGCAATCCAATCACAAATGAACGGAAATATCCACATTATTTACCAATACTACAGAAGTGCACTTGTGTATGTGGCATCCATCCAGTGATATAATGACAAATAAACTGTTCTCTTGATCTATCCACTTATTGTTTATGTTGTTGTGACCCCAACTCCATACCACCATCATACGCCTCATATTTTCTCAAGCAAGTAATTGGCCTTGGAACTGGTTTTTCGGTTGTATGTTCGGGGTTAAGGGAAGGCCAAAGGGGGAGGAGACTTATTGTGCCAGTTAAATAACTTAATAGAGAATTTTATTTAATAGACCATCCCCTCCAAGGTTCTTCTTTTGAGGTTCATCCAGGTCTTAACCCTTCCAGTGACCGCACAGTAGAGCACTAAAGCTTCAATATGCTATATGCAATAAATTAGGAGAGTTGGTGCCTATATCTTTTTCTTTCTTCAAAAAATTTAACTTTATTTTGCAACCTACATATGATCAATTTTATGGTCAGTCAGAAACATGCAGAATGTAATAAGATGAACAAAAAAATGCAAAGGATGAGAGAACTTACAAGTACCAAGATCTCCCCAACCTCGGTCAAGAATTCCCCTCTGCCCAGTATTCCTTAGTGCCTCCAAAATTATATCTGTAGTTTTAATGGTATCTTCAAGAGGCTAAAAAAAAGAACAAAAGGAATGAACAAGTTGGATATCTTCAAAAACATAAGTGAAGTAGGAGACCAAAGTGATAATAGTAGATCAGATTGCTAAGATCTTAATTGACACGAAGCACAGCCACCTTACAGATCTATTTAACAATTAAAGTTGTGTGAGACGAAAATGCAGTTAGATTGATAGAAGCTGGTTTACATCCACTATCGCAAGTTTATCAAGTACGAATTAAATCATTCAGAAACTGATACTGTCACTAGACTGCCAGTAGAAAACTAAAAAATTCCACCTACAGTAATAAACCTAGTCATAAGTTGCTTCTAAATTATAAAAGACATCAGACTGGATATATCTTGCAAGAGCGGCTGAGTGGGATAAAGGATCATCTGATACTTCTAAGACTTCTGGGAGTTCATATTGTTAGCATGATAGACAACTAAATGATTGTATATATTAATGTAATTATATAGTGATATAAATTAGCATGATCATATACATTTGTTGTAGAATCATATGAATAAATATTGTGATAGAATAGCTGATTTGGAGGGATAGCAAGGCAGATTTAGAGGGATTCAATGGCAGATTTGTATAGATAGAATAGATGATCTTTAGGGATAGGAATGGCGGATCTTTAGGGATGTGTAATCTTTATTTTCTCTATATAATGGAAAGACTCTCTCACTTTGAGAGACATTCATCTGAAAATTGACATGGTATTAGAGCCTTCTCTTGGCTGTCTTGTTTCATAGAGTCATC